AAAAAAGAAAAAAAAAAACCTTAATAGCATGTTACTGGCAGTATGTACTGGTAGAGGGCACTGAGAGTATTCAATCTTTCTTGCCTCGAAGTCCTTTATTTTTGGAACTCAAACTCCCAACAGGACACAGTTTGGGAAAGGCTACTGAATTTCAAAATCAAGTGTTAACTTCTTCCTGAACTAACAGCCCACAGCACACTGCCCCCAGATTATGGTTTTTCTTCAATAGGCCTTTCCCAGAAGAAACTTTAGTCAAAAAGAAAAGAAATAGAGCTCAAATTCCAAAAAAAAAAAAAAAAAAGGAAAGAAAAAGAAAGGGGGAAAAAGAAATGCTAGTCTGAACAAAAAAGAAATGAATGAATCATTATTTATGAAATTTAAAAATTCTGTTGATAATTTTTTTTATACAGGCTTTCCCATGAGAAGCATCAGAATCCCCTCCCCTTCTGCCACATGAGACTTTGTGCTACGGCTTTGGTCCAACTCAGATCGAGGTTTGAACCTGGCTTCGATCCTGTTCTTGTTGTTCTGTATTATCTCAGCCATACCTATCTGCCAAGCTTATTGTAAAGCCCCCTCCTTGGTGCCCAATTCCCTGCTCCTCAGACTGATTCCTCAGGTCTGTCTGGGATCTTTGCTGTGCTAGACAACTAGGAACAAGAATTGGTCTAGGGTGGTGGTGGTGGTGGCGGCGGCGGCGGCGGCGGCGGCGGCGGAGGCGGAGGCGCACGCCTTTAATCCCAGCACTCGGGAGGCAGAGGCAGGCGGATCTCTGTGAGTTTGAGGCCAGCCTGGGCTACCAAGTGAGTTCCAGGAAAGGCGCAAAGCTACACAGAGAAACCCTGTCTCGAAAAACCAAAAAAAAAAAAAAAAAAAAAAAAAGAATTGGTCTCATTTCTACCGTCTACCACTGCTGTCAATAGTTCTCAGTCTCAAGGAAGTGATGCAAGCTTTGCATTTGTGTTGGTGGCCTAGTGACTTTTTGTTGGAGTGAAAGAAAAGTTACCAGCTATGCAGGAGTCAAGCTGAGGGCCGAGTGGTTTTGTTTAAAAGAGCAAAAAAAAAAAAAAACCTGGTGGATTGAGTTTGGAACGGTGAAGTCTACCATTTGGCTCTGAGATGAGAGCTGAATGCAGTGGGAGCAGAAGGTTGTTCAAGAGAGAATGGTGCAGGGAGGAAAGGGGGACAAGAATAAGAGGGGAAAAAGAGACAGGTACGGGAATTGGAAAGGGAAGAAAGAGAAGGGAGTATTTAAGAGGTTGGCCCCAGGCTGGGAAGGAGAAAGGTAAGGTGTTAGGTCTCTAAATATCACTGCAAGAGTCAAATGCCCCGCAGCTCCAGGGATGGGACCTCAGCTGCTCAGCCTCAGCCTCCGGGAAGCAAATGAATGCTAAGTGAGAAAAAGCACAATTGAAACGCTGACAAGGGGTCAATCAGCAAGGTGATAACAGGAAGACTCTGTCACCAGTCATTAGCACTTAGACCACAGGCTCTACAAGGCAACCAACTTTCTGTCTTTCTCAAACTGCCCTGGCACTAAGCATACCAGTGTCTGGTAAACAGCAGGCACATGTTAAACAAACATCTCTTTAATGACTGGGTGTGGAGTGTGCTAATGGCATGAAGGATGAATATTCAGTGGCTTGGGGAAAGGAAGGGAAGGCCCACATGACTGAGATTTCACAAGTGAGGGGAGGGGGCCTGGATGGATGGAGCTGTATAAGGCTGGTTGGGCAGGAAGGCCAGACAGATTGCTTTTTACACTTGTTGACACCGAATTTTGTAAAGCACTCAGAATAAATAGTGTTACTGCTAAGTACATGCTGCACGGAATGCAGAAGATTTAATTAGCAGTGTATTCTAAGACTGGAAGTGCACCTTCAGAGAGATGGCAAGTAGAAAGTTAGTGTGGGAGTGAAGAGTTAACATGCACCTAGAGACAACTTTTAAATGTCTGATATTGGCATTTCATTATTTTCTGGCCTAAAATTTTGTCCCTCTGATAGATATTTTAATGACAGGGTTCTAGGCTCTAAAGAGCAGAGGAAGATATTTACCTTTTTGTCATCTACAATCCATACAAAGAAATCTTTTATTACTTATACAAAATTTGGAACATCCAAAGTC